AGAGCTTTTCCCTTTTTTGTAGCTGGTCACTCTGGACAAATTACTTTATAATAATGTAGAGAATCAATATAATTTCAGTACTAAAAAGCAGAATCAAATTAGCTCCCTCTAAATAAGAAAACACCTTAGCATCCTAAATAATCAATTCAATATCCAAATATCTCAGTACAAAAAGAAAGTCAAGACGTCCCAAGTTGAATAGGGAAGAACCTTCTAGAGAGAGATAGAATGTTAGGGACAGAACTAAGGTCTAAAAATTCTGAATTCTAAACACAGATAACGCCATTCCCAAGTCAACATTTGTAAAATCTCAATCTTTTCAACATAAATCAATGTTAACACTCAAATATACTGTAAGTCAGAAATCTTAAATTTTTTTAACCAAAGAAAAAGAATTCATTGTCCTAACCTGGTCCACATAAGATAAATCCCAACGGCCCTGAAATCAGTACTGGAAAGTGTGGCAACTTAGATTTAAAGTATGTTTAGTAGCTGGGAGGTAGTATTCTACTGCCAATGATGTAACCCAGGTTTAATCACTGCTGAGTACATAAAGAGGTTTATGCTGTCACTTCTGTCCTAACAATAGGAAGTCCAACTTTCAAGGAGGAAAGACACAGATACAGCACTATACAGACTTTCATTATAAAACAATGAGCTCACCAGACTAAAGTGCCTGCTTAAGAAGAGCACAGAGGTCGGGGTTCAATCCCCAGCGGGGTGTGCTGAGATAGCGATTGAGACTGGGCATGGTGGCGCATGCCTGTAATCCCAGTGCTTGGGAGGCTGAAAATAGGAGAATCACTATGAGTCCAATCTTCGTGAGACCCTGTACACCCTGTAGTCCCTGTCCTAAATTCAAAAAATAATAAGATACAATATTGAAAAGTTCAAGATCAAAAGATATATGTTACCAGGCACAATGGTACACATCTATAACCCTAGCTACTCAGGAGACTCAAGGAGGACAAATCCACATTAGAGGCCAGACTGAGCAGTTCAGCAATTCCATCCCAAAATTAATAGTTAAACAAGGGAAGGCTGGGGAGATAGCTGAGCAGTCGAAGAGCCTGCCTGGCAAGCCCAAGGACCTGGTTACTACATGTCATGCCTACCATGGAAATCGGGCATGGTAGCACATGCCTGTAATCCCAGTGCGGGGGAGGCTGACACAGGAGGATCACTATGAGTCCAAGCTGCATAGCCAAGATCCTGTACAAAATAAAGAACAAAAGATTTTTTTAAAAATAAATAAATACAAAATAGTTAAAAAGGGAGGGAGGTTGAGGGTGTAGCTCAGTGGTAGATCCCTTGCCTAGCTCCTGGGTTCAAGTCCCACCATAGCAAAAACAAACAAAATAAAAAATTGTTAACTATGTAAACATACAGGAGAAAGTAGGTATTTTTTATGACATATAATTTGTGTTTCCCAGACATACTGCTATGTATCTAGAGTTCCAGCTATTCAGGAAGCTGAGGCTAGAGGGATAATTTGCATCTAGAAGCTAACAACTAGACTTGACCACACAGCAAGACACACTTTTCAAAATCCTAGACACCTGGAAGGCTGAGGCAGGAACCCAAGTTTGAGACTAGCCTGGGCAACTTAATAAGAGCCTGTCTCAAAGTGACATCTAAAAGGGGCTGGGGATGTACAGTGTTAGAGCACTTGCCTAGCATATGCTAGGTTTGATTCCTCAGCAGTACAAGTACAGTAATAAAATATATACTACCCTATGGCCCAGCAATTGCATTCCTAAGTATAAACTCACAAGAATGGCAAACACAATTCAAATATTTATTTACTTATTTATTTATTTACTTTGCAGAATCAGAGATTGAAATCAGGCCCTTGCGCTTGCCAGGGAAGCGCCTGATCCACTGAGCCAACTCCCCGGCCCCAGAATTCACATATTAAATTCCTAAGTGCTCACAAACTATATTGTCAAGTTTCCATCTCATTATATATCAGACTGTGCTACTCTTTCCCTTTCTTTCTAGTCTTGTTCCTCAACTCCATCAAAGAAGGACAGACCACATCCTCAAATTCTACATCCCTATAGTGCTAGAACTGTGATGGATACAAAGCAGCAAGTCTAAGGTGATTTCATTAACTTTGGATTTAAATTAGAGGAATGGAAATATAGCTGGGTGGTGCAGCACCTGCAGGCAAGCACAAGGCCCTGAGTCAATTCCTCCTACAAAAACAAAAAAGCAAACAAAACAAAACAAAACAAAAAACACAAAAACATTACAATTGAAAGCCTTAAAATAATTTCAATACTGTGGGCTGGGGGAGATAGCTCAGCAAGCTAAGCGCCTGCCTGGCAAGAACAAGGACCTGGAAACTGGGCGTGGTGGCACACACCTGTAATCCCTGCAGTGGGGAGGCTAAGACAGGAGGATCACTAGGAGTCCGAGCTTCCATAGTGAGACACTGTACCAAATAAACAAAATATTTTTTTAAATAATTTCAATACTGTATAATCAACCAATTCGGACAAGTACATTCCCTCCTTTTTAAATACAGTTCTGCAGCAATCTGACCTTTGTTATGATACACCGTTTGGCTCCTGCTATGGTTGGGGTCTAGCTGTCCTCGCAAAGCCTAATGTGGTCATAGGCAGGCTTTCTCAGAGGTGGTTGGTCTAGAGTATGTGACTGATTCATGCTGCAAGTGCTAGGACTTTTCTTTGGTATTAGGAATCAAACTCATAACCCTGCGCTTGCCAGGCAGGCACTGTGTCACTGAGCTGCATCCCTGGCTCAATGCGGGGATTTAAGTGTGGGTGATTAGTAAATCAGTCCACTAGTTGGCTTGGCACCACCCTAATCCCGGTTGTCTGGATACATACAAAGGACAGGAGGAGAGCTGTCTTGTCAGGTCCCTCGCTTGCTTCCTTTGCTACCTTCTGCCTGCTGTCAATTGTTTCGTCCTCTGTGGGCCCCTCTGCCGTGCCACCCTGCCTGGGAGCCAGCCCATTATGGAGCGAAACCTGTTCGGACTCTGAGCCAAAAAAGCCCTTCCCGCCCTTCACTTGTAGGTGCTAGCTATTTTGATTCAGCAATGAAAAAAGTAACACAGCCCCTTTTTTGCTCAAAAAATGACCCAGACAGAAAAATGCCAAGATACCAAAACGCTGTGGAAATAACGCAATGACTAACAGTACGCTAAAGACTTGACAAGCTGCTTCCTTGGAGAAAATGGCCTTTTCTAAATTCATTAAAAATGGTTTCAAAACAGTTGAAGAGAATCAAAGCACATGTACCTAAAGATGCAGAAGCTCTGAATAGTCCTATGATTTTGTTTTCTTGACAGATGTGCACTCTGCAAGCCCTGAGGTCACCAGATGCATATTAAATTAATCTGTACTTTTAGGTTTTACATAACACACCACTCTGGTTTTATAAATGAACTGCCACATGAAAGCAGAATTCCTTTGTTGCTTTATGGTAT